AGTACATGTTACGCATGACTGAAAAAAAGTTATTCAACGAGGAAGAATATGGTATATAAAAATGATTGTTTGAAAATAAATATAAGTGCATTGGTTAGTTAAAAGTGAAAATATTAATTTCAATATTTTAACCATGAATACCGATGTAGCACAAAATAATTTTACCATGGCCACCAAAGATGCATTGACCGATAATATATCAACAGAGGGCGATGCGGAATCTCTAGTTATTAACGCTGTTCCAGCTTATCTTCTTTTTGCATTCGGTGTTGGTGGAAATATTATTGCCCTGGTGGTATTACTAGTGACTGCCAAAACTCATAACTGGCGGCCATTTTATAGGTACGTCTGTGGACTTGCGATCACGGATGGAGGTGGACTACTTATATCGGTTCCCGTATCTCTCTCTATGTACGCCTCAGAATTTAAGAGAGAATTACACAGCTAGGATAAGGCTGTCCAATAAATATCACAGTGTACCAGCCGTTCTTACTTCTCTGAACTTCCAAGATATGACGTCATAATAGAATATGACGTCAAATCACTGCAAACTTGAGCAGTCATGACGGGGAAAGTGTCATAACTTTTACATTCCTTCCCATGACATGTAGATATTATTTCGACGTTGATGTTTAAATTAGGTGTCTGAATTGCTGTTTAAAGTTTCTTTGTGCTGTTATGATGGTGATTATTTGCAATACAATAGCGTTATTCTTTTCTCTTACTGATAACGTACGTATTCAGACAATAACAAAAAATGAATATGAAACGCTCTCCCTTACACGTCCGTAGACAGAGTTAGAATGTATAAATCATGCATATATTAGACTGGCACAAGTGATTAATAAAGATAAACTGAAGATTTCCTGCGTGAATCTACTAGAGAAGTATGTCTTCTAACTGAATTTTGCTGGGGGATCGTATGTAATGTATCCTATTTTGTATAAATTGCGATGAAGAGTGGAAAATGCCCCCTTGTATGTGGGTAAGTTGAATTTGTCGTGAAATATTTTCTTAAGAAGTAAAACTCAGACTTGCCCCCAGCACTTTACATATACGCAAGAATGCGTTTAATTGATTTATGTAACAAACTATTCTCAATAATTTTGTTTTTCACTTGTGCCGATGGGATTTTTGTGCAGCAATTAGGAAATTTTATAAGTGTCCGTCACGTGATCAACACAGTCATGTGACATCACAAATATGCTTTTTCTCAATACTTTATTAAACTCTCTTCACAAATTTACTGCACATGTATACATAGATTACAAATCGAAATCAAAAGCTAGCTCAAAATATAATAGCGTATTTATAATGCATATTAAGTCTTCGGACAGCCTTAACATATAGCCGCGTATCTCCAACTCTATGTAACTTTCAGATGTTTTGGTATATGTTTACTCTGATGTCGTCTGCCATGATCGTGTGTGGCATGTCTTTTGATAGATTCTTCGCCACATATTACCCTTTTTACTACAACAAACCTCACAAAGAAATTCGTACGAACATAGTAGTATTAGTCAACTGGGGGTCGTAACATAAAGGGTACTTAAGTCTAAGACCATGCTTAAGTAGGACTTAAGTACAGTCTTAAACTTAAGACCGTAACTAGAAGCTTGCTAAGATTTGACAATCTTAGCAAAACTTAGGCGGCCGGTAGAGGTGACTTAGTATGTCTTAACTTTCTTAAACACATATTTAGAATTATTTAAGGTCGACTTACTATGTTAAAACATTTATCTATTAATATTTTGCATTAAAAAATAATTTTCTCTATTTAATATACTGGTATAAGAATTTGAGTTTTTTGTCCCGGGGGGGGGGGGGGGGGGTATATATACATCACTTATTCCAATGTCACTCTCTAAATGACATACATGTAAATGCAAAATATTATTTTTGGGATACATTTGAAATATTAATGGGACCTTGGTTATAAACACTAATCATTGTAAGTAAATTGTATACAGTAATCATGGATTTGTTTGTTGACTGTGAAAAAATGAGATCAAATGATTTTAAAAATTGTAGGTGAAATAAAGGATTATGAGTAGAAAACTAATAAAGATTTTCTGTAAATTAAATTGAATGTAGAACGCAACAAGCGAGAATTCAGACAGGGGTTCACTACCGTTAACGAGAGAGAGAGAGAGAGTTGTTGATAGGTTGGAGATATATGAAAAATTGTTTTCTGAAAACAATTCTTTTCCACCCTTCATTAAATTGTAAATAAGTATATCATAAAACGTCTGCAGTCTGCTTGCTGATATGGGAGGGAAAAAAATTCAAAATGCCCCTATTGGGTTTTTTTTTTTTTTTTTTTTTTTTTTTTTTGGTTTTTTTTTACTTTTTTATTAAGAGTTTCAATTTCAAGGACGTAGACGTTCGGTTATCGTGCCATGTCTGCGAGAATGACAATTTGAAAGCAAGTGAACATTTGTCAAACGGAAGAATAACAACAAACGGTAAACTGAAAACATCGCAGTCTCGAGTGATAAACAATATTCACGCATTTACAATGAACCACTAGTGCCACTTTGTGACCGTGCAATATTTGTTTTCAAATATTCAGAATTGTTTAAACAGAATTAACTAAAATTAAATACGAAATCAAATCTAACCTAGCAAAAACCGATAGGTAGGACGTCAACTTTAATATACATGTGATTAAAAACGTAACTAAATCATTTTTACAAATACATATAAATAAATAAATAGAAAAACCAGGATGATTAATAAAACATATTTTGAACATAAGTTTGACTTAGCTAAGACCTAGCTAAGTCCGTTTTATGTTACAGTTTAAGACATACTTAAGTAGTACTTAGGAGGTCTTAAGATTGCACCTAAAACAAACTTATGACCCTACTTAAGTCAAAAACTTAGCAAGCTTTATGTTACGACCCCCTGGGGATTTTCGGCACTCATCAGCAGTTTACCTTTTTTCGGACTTGGTTCAAGTCGCAAGTTTTACCCTGGCACATGGTGTTTTTTGAATTTTATTGAAACATCCATAGAGAGCAACAGAATTAACTCCATCATCTATGCTACTATCGGCATCATCATTGTATTAGCTACATGGACCTTCAATATCGCGGTAATTGTCTACTTTATCTATAAAAGATACCAGAAAGAATCCACATGGAGCGGATGGAAGGATTTGCATGTCATCATTTTTTTATGTCAGTGGTGGTCCTGTTTACTTCCTGTTGGTTCCCTTTAATGGTAAGATGGTAGTTATGGGGACACATAACATTTTGTGTGTTAAAAAGTTAAGTGAAGAGTTTTATTCCTGTAAAATTAAGGAGGATACTCTTCTTAGATTTTAATAGTGGTTCCTTTCAAAAGAGAGTATTAAAAGGGCTATTTTTTTTTTTGTTTTAGTTGGAAAACAATTTCCATGAAAGAATTTATTATGTAATTTATTGCTATTATTTATAAAATGAATATCAAATAGGAATTTCTGAAGTCAGATTTTAAAAAAAAATCAAGAAATCATACACAAGATAGAAATGACTTACGATGAGAATATTAGTGATTTTTAGATGTCATTAAAATTTTACCTTTCTTTGTGCATCAATATATGAGACAGGATATGAAAGATTTCTCACTTACTATATGTTTTGTGAATTCGGTTTATTATATCAACTTTGATGCAAGAACACAGAGATTCGTGTGAACGTTCTGATTTTTTGAATTCTATTGTAATCTTTAGCGTTATTGGGCTGGGACACGCCTTTTCACATATTAATTATATAAAAACTTTTCTAAGGTGAATTCACATAGGTATTTATTATTCAATTAAAAGGTCAATATTCTGGGACATGCCTCGTTCGCACTTCCGGAAACAGCGGGTAAAACGGAGCCTTTGCTGGCGAGATTGAGCATCACAAACTCAATAGTTGACCCCTGGTTGTACCTTGTCTTCCGGAGGGAGATTTACTCTGTCCTAGTGACATGTGTTAGACGTTTATCCAGTAAAGGAAGGGCAAACCACTCCGAGGGTACTCCTTATGCTTAAACGACTGGACACTCAGAACAAAACAGGTAGCGTGTCGATAGATAATAATGGGACAGAAAATACAATGGTAAACAATCATTAGTTAACAATGTAAGTTATTATTATATACATGTACCTAATAGATAATTTATTTAATAAAAATGCAAATCTTAACTGGTTCCAATTATTAATACATCAGCAAAAGTACAGGTTTTCAAGATTTGTTTAGATTTTTTTTCTTCATTGAAAAAGGCTGTTGAATATTCAGTTCTATCTCAAAAGATATAGACTTCAGTTTTTAATATGACTTATTTTCTATTTGAAGTACAAATAAGTACTTCATTCGTTGTTAATATTAATTTATTGATAATCAATAAAGCTTCTACAAAGCTTGGTCAAGAGTTACCTTCAAAGTTAGAATGTGCGAACTTCAATCTGGCAATAAGGCCTACATCTAACCATCTCTTTATGATTCGTTCTCGTTCACATCTCTGTAATATTATGGCCCTGAAGAAATAACTTATCTTACTGTATGTGGAGATAATCAATTAGAAAGAGTTTTGGCCGATAGTAGGTAACAAGCACACAATGTGTGGCTATAGGGTGACAAAATAATCATCAACGGCTTCAGTTACTTCAACTCTGAATGGTCCTGACATGGACAAATCAAAAGATCCGAGCAAAGCGTGGGATTTATGAAAAAGAAATGATTTGTTGTCTTACCAAATAGACCAGGATATTAATTAATGCTGTATCATGTTATGCACTTAGCAACTAAGTACCTAGACATCGAATTCTGTAGGCGTCCAATGATGATAAAGTAAAATCATGATAAGTACATGTTACGCATGACTGAAAAAAAGTTATTCAACGAGGAAGAATATGGTATATAAAAATGATTGTTTGAAAATAAATATAAGTGCATTGGTTAGTTAAAAGTGAAAATATTAATTTCAATATTTTAACCATGAATACCGATGTAGCACAAAATAATTTTACCATGGCCACCAAAGATGCATTGACCGATAATATATCAACAGAGGGCGATGCGGAATCTCTAGTTATTAACGCTGTTCCAGCTTATCTTCTTTTTGCATTCGGTGTTGGTGGAAATATTATTGCCCTGGTGGTATTACTAGTGACTGCCAAAACTCATAACTGGCGGCCATTTTATAGGTACGTCTGTGGACTTGCGATCACGGATGGAGGTGGACTACTTATATCGGTTCCCGTATCTCTCTCTATGTACGCCTCAGAATTACAGAGAGAATTATCTCCAGTTTTGTGTAACTTTCAGATGTTTTGGTATATGTTTACTCTGATGTCGTCTGCCATGATCGTTTGCGGCATGTCTTTTGATAGATTTTTCGCCATATTTTATCCTTTTTACTACAACAAACCCCATAAAGAAATTCGTACGAACATAGTAGTATTAGTCATCTGGGTACTTTCGGCACTCATCAGCAGTTTACCATTTTTTGGACTTGGTTCCAGTCGTAAGTTTTACCCCGGTACATGGTGTTTTCTAAATTTCATTGAAACGACCACAGAGGTCAACAGAATAAACTCCATCATTTATGCATCCATTGGAGTAGTCATTGTTCTTGCAACATGGATCTTCAATATCGCAGTAATTGTCTATTTTGTGTACAAGAGATATAAAAGAGAGTCCACGTGGAGCGGATGGAAGGATGCGCATGTCATAATTTTTCTGATGACAGTGGTCGTACTCTTTACTTCCTGTTGGTTCCCGTTAATGGTAAGATGCCTAGAAGGAAAGTGTGTCTGTTTGTAATATTTTCAATGCACCACTCTTTGAAGTATATATATATAATTATTTATTGTAATTATTATTATTTATTGTAAAACATCATGAAGAAGAAATGAAAGCGCTTATGTTTTACTCGTTCTCTGTGTTTTTATATGTATGAATATTTTTCATATATATATATATATATATATATATATATATATATATATATATATATATATATATATATATATATATATATATATATATATATATATATATATATATATATGACAAGTTTGAAATACAATATGGTTTACATTTTGCAAGGTAAATATTCTCGGACATGCCACGTTTGCACTTCTGGAAACAGCTGGAAAATCTGAGCTTCTATTCACGAGACTGAGCATCACTAACTCGGTTGTGGACCCGTGGCTGTACATCATCTTCAGGAGGGAGATCTATTCCGCCCTTCTATCAGGCGTCAAACGTTTATGTCCTACCGAAAAAGAATCTCAAACGGACTCCGCTCCAAATCAGCCACAGTCTCTGAGCACTGGAAATAAAACAGAGAATGTCTCCATTGAAACCAATTAATGGTGTAGTGCATTCAGTATCGTCAGTTTTACAACAATATTTGTACGTGTACATTTAATTGTATTAGAATTTTGCTTACACTTAAGATATATTGGAAGATTAATTGACACCATTGTAAAAAATAATAAACACGTTGGGGGTAAGATACGATGAATAGGCGGATAAGAATATTTCATGTAAATATTGCCTCTCGAATTCCATAACATAAATATTCATGTAAAATAAACTTCACCAAAGAAAATGTAAGTTTTCCCTTTTTTTTAGTATTGTAGATCACAATTTCTTCATTTTCCATATTTGTATTATAAGTGTTTTTAATTGTTGTTTATTGTGAAAATTGTGGAATGCATACTTCATTTATTTCAATCACAAACTTTGCTATGAAAATGTCATCGGGGAATTCTAGTATTCAATGGTGTCAAACCCTTGAACCCTTAAAAGCTTTAAGAAACGCCCAAGTATAGCATCCTATTGAGTATAAAAAAAATGTATCACAGTATTCTGTAATAAGGTACATTTAATTTAAGTAATTTTTGTAAGTGTTTACTGCTCTTAATTGTGGAAATACCTATTGTATCCCATGAGTTGGCAAAATTAACAATACGACTGTATGCTTTATTTTCAAGCCAGTCATCTCTTCATAAGTCATCGATGGATGAATGACTTGCTGATATATATATATATATACCGGTATTTGACCAGCTACTTAAAATATCAATTATAGGTGGACACTTACAGGGATTACTCTTATTAATATAAAACAATATTTGATTGTTATCTAGTGAAATGTTTGTTGTGTTATATCCCAATAAATTTTTAGTAGAGGGATATTCAATAAATTGTAGAAATTGTGAACAGCTTTTAAACTTCCATCGAATTTTCCATCTTAGTGTTATTTATTTTTATTTGTCAGACAATGCTCTGAAATTAAAATAATAAAATTATATGCCTACGTCAGATTATTTTTCCATAATTTCAAATTGGCAAGCTAAGGTCAAACATGAAAAGTAGCGTTTTGGATTAAACATCAACGATGAACATAATCCGGATGGCTTGCATTTTGGACTTGAATACCACTTCTTTGTGGAAAGTTGGAAATGAATGGCTGTACGTGTACTGGTTGTTTACAAAAGAACCCTTGATCTACTGCAGCATTCAACAAATTCTTGCATTATGTAAAAATGTGTCGGTTCCCCTTGTTACGTTATCGTATAGGTGTGCCTGTACAGCAATCAACATGAAGTGCACCATCTTTAAAATCTTCCGGTTTCGGAAATTTTTACACCATTGGAAATCAGAAACGTAAAAATGTTAACTTTTTTTAGGGATGTCAAATCGGTCAATATTTGATAATCGGTTACTCGGACGATTTTCCGATCGAGTACCCGGGTACTCGAAAAAATTGTAAAATACAAATGTGTTAATTTTATTGAGACCAGTTAAGCCCCCTGTTTAACCCCATCGATGATTTTCTTAACGTTTTCTACGCCTTTACACAAACATCGAGCAAAACGAAAATGATTTTTTGTACTAAATTGATTTATCAAATAAACACAAAAGACAACAATTAATACATCAATAATTAGAAATGGTTTATAGCTCTTGTTTTTTAAGAAAGAGACGGTGTCGCGATCGCTAGATGTAAATTATTTAATTAATACATGTATGTTGAATGTTTCCCAATATACGCTATGTTTACTTTGAGAGCTAATTTTAAACATTTTTAAAATCTTTAATTCTTTCCTAATTTTTTTTTTTCGGTAGCGGCATTTCTTTTTAAGTCCGAATTCGCTACTGTATGCGAACTAAATTATTTTAGGATAATAAACCCTAATTAAACGATGTTCATTAAATACTAATCATGAAAGCCATCCAAAAAATAACGGGCCACAAGAGGTGATAACAGCTGTGTACCAGGTGATTGGTCACGGTAATTACTTGTATAAACAAGTACACAGCCACAGACAATAACGGGTTATTAACAGGTGTGGGTGACGCTAATTACTAGGTAAACATGGACAATTCATTTTGAAGTTGCACTTTTTTGATAAGTTTTTGATAAAAAAAAAAAAAACAACTTTGTTCTTTGAAATAAAAAAAACATCCGAGTAACCGATTAGCGATTTTAGTATTCGATACTCGGACGTTCGATCGAGTACCCGGTTAACCGGGTACTCGTTGACATCCCTACTTTTTTTATTTTTATTGGACACACCTCTGGTAGTGTAGATTCAAGTTCGTTCAAATCTATGATTATTGGACAAAAAATGAGGCCACAAACTCATAGGTAAAAGTACATAGGAATTTTAAATATATATATCTATACTTTTAAATTAATAAATTTTGCAAATAAACTCCAAAACGGGTTCATCAGAGTTCTTACTAACTCCTCCAAGAATACACTAGATACAAGATGATGTCCGTAAACTATATTTAGATTTCACTCGCATAGTTAGTATCGTACATTAAATTAAAAGGCTACCCTCATTTTCTATGAACAGCCATGAAATAGCAAAAACATGAGTACGGTGGCGTTTCCGGTTGGCGGATCTAAGGTATTGGCAATTTTCAATGACACTGACAACAAGCAATCGTTTATTTGTTTCATAAAACGTCATCACTGAATTATTCAATCAAAACTTGATTTAAATGATATAAAAGAAATAAGTTGTGATACCCGATTAAAAAGGGAAATGTGCAAATTATTTTCGTCATTCACCGATCTTAATATTGACGGAAGCTTCTAGAACATCATATAGCATCGAGTCCGATGTTTAAAAAAAACGAGGCTATTATGCTGCATGAACATATAAAAAGTTTTTGTGTGAATGGTCTTTGAAATAATGGTAAATCATCGATAACACTATAAGTTTTGAATATATTTATAAATCGAAAGACTGTTACATATATGTAATAGGTTTTCCTAATAAATTTATCGGTAAACTTCTCACTGAGAGCTTCGTGGCAACGAACCCAAAGTACAATTTGTACTTCGTAATAAACTTGCTTACATGAAAAGAGAAAATTAATGAATAAGGTATTGTTCAAATACAATCAAAGCTGTATAATTTTGTGCTTTAATCAATACATTTCAGTTATTTTTCTGAATACAGTCTTTTGTATCAAATACTCGGCCTATTCCTAGGGCGTTAAAAGATAAATTTTACACAGGTACTTGGACCTTGCTTTATAAAAACGTATGTACATGTACCTTATTGATACATGTATGTAAAAAAGTAAAGTACATTTTTTACATATCAATAAGGTACATACATATTTATAAAGCAATACCCAAGTACCAGTGAATTTTTACCCCCCTCCCCCCAAATCAATTTATCAATAAAATGTGCATATTCGCTGCTTTTATCCTTGAGGGAAATGAAATAAGAGCATCTGAAGTACAATATCCATAGCATAGTATAAAAGGTTTCACAATAAACGTCAATTAATGAAATTGTTATTTTTTCAAATTTTTACAAATAGAGGGGTGGGGTGGAGACGTACATCTTCTTCATGCAGGATTTTGAACAAAGTATTTTTTCCTGCTATAAGCCTGTAGGCTGTCAGTAGAAACTACAATATATTTTCTGTCGGTTATGGTATAAATTCAATTTCCCGCGCTTGCGCGGGATTTCATCTAGTATATATATATATATATATATATATATATATATATATATATATATATATATATATATATATATATATATATATATATATATATATATATATATATATATATATATATATATATATACAAAGCTATGCAATTAGATACTTTTTAGACCATTGGGAAATTGTGTCTTCGTCGTAAGATACGTGTGTATTTTGTGAAAGGTCCCCTGGTCAACAAGAAAACTCCCTATGATTCAAGTTTTGGTACACCATGGTCTCTTGGGGAAGGGTTTGGGCCACAAAGGGTTGGGAAGGTTTGGACAAGAAAGGGAGTTCAATCGTTAAATAGAAAAAGAATTTTATTGTAATATGTCAAAATTTAAGTTTATCAGGCATATATGCAAGCATCCTCATAAAGCACAGGTTCATCTTTGTTCAAATCTTAGTAAAGGTTGTAGGCATAGTGCCACAAAAGGTCATTTTTGAAGATATGGACAAGTAAAAAAAAACATTTTCCCTATTACCAATTATCTAAATTGTTGTAAATTTTATATAAAGCCATATTTATTTAATGTAAATTCAACAATGATCAATATTTTCCCCTATAGCCGATATCAAAAAACATGGGTAGTCAAGATCAGCTAGAAAACATGGGTGGTCCAGATTTTTACAAAAAAAATCAATATCTCTTTTATGAAAAGTAATTTTATAGAAAATCCCATTTCAAATATAGCACCGAGGCGGGTTCAAGTCACAATAGGGGATCAAAATTTTAAATTGGAATAGTTAAAAATCTTGTTTCAAAGAAGAGGCGTTTAAATATGAGTGAAATATTTTCGGAAGGATGTAAATAAAAAATAAACTAGCCACATCATTAAAAAAACAAATCAAGCTTAGCAGCACCACCAGGGGGCTCACAAAATCGTCACAACATGGTGTACTTCCGTTCGATACGTATGATCAGATTCTGTCCTGATCAATTCCCTGAACACCGATAAATCAACGGGCATACATGTTCCAAATCCTGCAAGACGTATGCTCTATTGTGAACGGAAAGCGACGAGGGTGACCAAGGTACCCTTTGTTTAGGTATGATTTTTTAACAATAAATCCATATGAGTTTATTCACAGACAATATACAACGCCTTATCATGATATTTGATTATTATGTGTCAAACCCAATCACATGATTCCATAAAGTCCTATCAGAGATTAATACTTCTTTCGAATGGATATGCTTTCCAGCGAAATATATATCCAAAAAATACAAAATTAGACAGAAAAGGTGTATTCATCACCTTACCATCGCTTGAGGGATACAAAATGTTCACAACAGAGGAAAATCTCCGTATGTTTGGTTATACCCGGTGAAATTGGAACACTTCATAAAATCACCAAAACGTTTAATATTGATTCGAACGTTTGATCAACATTGATTTTCAGCTGTTTTGAATGGAAAACGTAAAGATTTAAAACGAAGTAAAAATTTCGTAATATGGACTCCTTTTACCCGCTTTTGACCACTTACCATGTCATCTGTAGCACAGGATATTGTACACAAATCGGAGGAATACGGTAATTAAGTAAATCTTCCTCTCTCAATACCTTGAATTCACATACCGGTATGTCTTTAACTAGAAACGTTTGTGTCTTCGCATAAATTCGTTTGAAAAACAATACAATAAGAACTTATTTCGATAAAATATATGGCGATAACGAACAGAAGTCAAGCTCAAAAGTCCATTCACA